CACACACACACACACACACACACACACACACACACACACACACACACTTGTTCCTCTTACCTGCCCCTTGCTGAGCACACTCTGGGTGTCTACTGACTGGAACTGGGTGGGCCAGATATTGCCTGTACCTGGAAAGCAAGCATAGCACAGATATAAGAATGAACACACACATCCACACAACACTTATCAGTGGCATTGGCTACCATATATATATATTGAAGGGAGTAGTGCAATGCTTAAGTAGTCGTCAAACAGCCAGCCACTTCTACTGCATCACATTCCCGCTGTACAGACTGGCATGTTCAATGCAGCGAACATTACAGCCATAAGAGATGGTTGAACATCTCATTATGAAACCATGGGCATGATTCTGTTACAAAATAACAGCCTCCGCTCTTTTGGGAAAGCTTTCCACAACATTTTGGAACCTGGCTGCCGGGATTTAGCTCCCATTCAACCGCAAGAGCATTAGTGAGGTCGGGCATGGATATTAGGCGACCGTTTCTTTATGGACTTCTCTTTGTAAACAGGGTCATAAAAACTTGCCACGACACAGGGCTGTCCACAAACGTCTGGCCGTGTAGTGTATCACAGTGCTACAATTCCTTCAATGTATTTTTAGATACATTACATTTCTATACAACTATAAAGACAAGACAACAGCACAGCAGAAACTATGTAGATGCATTATCTGATGTAATCCACATTGTACATATGAAAACAGACTCACACACACACACAGACAGTAAGGTGAACAGAACACAATGAACTGACCGACCACGCAGTGATTACAGCTAGCAGGCAGGACTTACACTCACTGTCATTATATCCTCAGACATCCAGAGCACACACACGCGTGGGGAAATTGTGACAGCGACGCACAAATGCACACGCAAACAACACACGGCCAGGCAAAACACATAAACAAGATACCAGCATGATGTAAGGAGGCGCAATATCAAACATCACCATAATGAAAGCTAAAGCCTGTTTATCGACCCGTTAAGTAGGACAGGAGGAGCTAAGCCCCAAAGATGCAGCGTGTTTACAATAACACAGCCGTACACGGATAGTTTAACCACATTTTAAACACCCTGCTGCCAAACTACGTCTATTTGTAGCCACGGAGAACGCCACCAGGGTTTTTGTGCCATGTACAGGGGGTCAAGTCAAGTTCAGAGGGATAGTGTGAATGACTCACACTCACATCAGTGAGTGTGATTAGAACACATAGAGTGAGTTAGCTCTTTGGTCTTAGTTTGATTTGATTAGGGCTGCAAATAAGGATTACTTTCAGAAGTGATAGAGATGTTGATTATTTTCTCCAACCGTCAAAAATTGTCAGAAGTGTTTAGAAACAATGCCACATCACAATGTCCCAGAGCCAACGTGAAAAAACCCAAAGGTATTAAAATTAAAGTGAAATAAAACATATTGGCTGACAATATGTCAGCAGTTAATCACCTCTGATTGGTGAAAAATACCAGATTACTTCTACCGATACTGAATACTACAGGCTAGTATTACTCAACTTCAAGCTAGGTAAGACTTATTCTAACAGAGTATACCTGTGGGACAACACATTCCCAAAATATAAGATTATTCAGCACATTCCGTTGTCATCAGGATGCACATTTTTAACCTTTTTTACAAAAAATTATTTAAAGTAAAACCTCTTCTATCTGAATTGACTAAGTTATTATGGAAGTTGATTACAGCAGGACAGCCAGCGTTCTACAGTGTACATGTCTCAGAGATATGTGTGTGGCGTTTTAAGCTCCTACGACATCTGGTTTCCTTAATTTGATCACCTTATCCGCTAACTGAAATTGGTCATGCTGTTGCAAATTCAAACCTCAAAAAACCTAAAACCCAAGCAATCATTTCAGGTAAACCCTTAAGTATTCCATCATCTACCATTTTCCTCTTTGGATAATCCCTGGATTCCTGCCTTTTGGAATTCCTCCACAGATTACCGCTTAAACCACTCCAGGGCCAAGGAGAGGAGGAGGGGGTGGGGGGGTTGGGGGAGAGTTTCGTTTTAAGAAGTTGGAAGTCTGTGAGTCTTGCTGGGCTTGCAGTTCCCCCCGCGGACATGTTTTGTGCATGTCGAGGAATGCGCTCCCTCCATTGCTCTGTTGTAACCCCCCTCTTCCCATCCCCTATCTCCTTCTCCTCCTTTCCTTCTCCTCCTTTAGGGAACAGAGGCATGAAGGTAGACACAGACAGCCGGGCTAACTCACAACAGCTCCCGTGATCTGCCTGACAACAGCCTGAGGGCCCACACATAGGCACACATACAGACACACAATCAGAACAGAGACAGGGAAAAAAGAGACCAAAGAGGGGCCCCGGGACGGAGCCTTAAGGCACTCCAACATGGTGACACAGCAGCAGCTTCCCTCCAGGCCCCCAGCTGCTAAGCCTAACTAACCACCAGTTATAAACTGCTCCACTCCTGTTTGCTAAGTGCCTTTGTTTGGCATAAAACAATAACTAGCCCCCCTGCTCTCTAATTTACAGAGGAGTTGGCTCATTCCTCTCAGTGGAATGTACAGTGGAAGTAGCTTGCATTTCATGACGGGGTGGAGAGAGCCGTGATGAGGGGGGTGGTTATCCGGCCAGAGTGGGGCTCATTGAGGGCGGACTGAGTGAGTTTGGCCGCTATTTTTAGATGACATGTCATTTTAAACTCGTGGTGCGTTCCTGTTCTGTGGTCAAGGAATGAACCAGTACGCATAAATAGACTGAACCTGCAAAGGAGAACTCCAATCAAACGTTTAGCAACCAAACCTGCTGTCAGGGCTACAGGCTTACCCAGTGCACTCAGAGAAATCCTCTTTCAAACAATAAGTAATGTAAACACAGCACAAGCTAAACAATAAAAAAACAGGACAAATAATGAAATCCATATCTACAGATGGAACAGCAAACATAAATCCCCCATAAACAGAGCACAAATGGAAGCGATTGAGCCTTTCTGAAATGCAAACAGTCACACGATCATTCTGTCTCCAAACCATGCCCACTCCATCCACTGTCTCCTTGCTTAACCTGCAGTAAACTGCAATAGCTGACAGAACGGGGAGAAAGAAAGCGATCCAAGTTCAGCTCGTCTCAGTGAGCGAGTGCTAAGCCTGAAAGGAAAGGGACTGAAAGAGGGAAAGATAGAGAACATATGGTGTACGGGGACCTTGTTTCCTTCCCCTTCACTCATCTCCTCCGTTTCCCCTCATCTCACACACCTGGGACCATTACTCCTCATGGAATCAACACCCAACTAAAACTCGACTTTCTTTAATTAGCTCTCGCTCTCCCTCCCCCATCCATATGCTCTCATCTCTCTCCGTCACCATTTCTCTCTTTGTCTCTTCTCCAATCTGCTCCGTTTCTTTAGTCCCTGTCGTCGTAATGTCTCACCAACTTGGATTTTGTTTTCCTCTCAGACTTTCCTCTTTACACCCTTTCCCACTCAATTTCTCATTTAGAATGACTGTATCAGGCTTTGTATACAAAGTGAATGTGGAGCTCTCACAATTCCCATGCCCATTGCCTCTGTGTGTGTGTGTGTGTGTGTGTGTGTGTGTGTGCTGTAAAGGCCTGTTAGTCTGGGTGTGGTATGGAGTCTGCGTGGGAAATAAGATTGAGGAAGTGGGACGTTTCCCACATTCTACTGCTCAATTACTCAAAGACAAAATGATGGGAGAGACAATATACTGCTGGCGGATTGATCCGTGTGTGAGAGGGCATGAGAGGGAGACGGAGCGCTAGACATGAGAGACAACAGGTCGAGCCGCAAGTAAATCCCAACAGCAAGACAAAAATACAACAATCTAAACACCGGTCTGGACAGAAAGTGAGCAATCAAAACTTGTCCAATGCTCACAAGCGTCATAAACACTTGAAGCCATTCTCAAAGCCTCTCCCTCCTGCACAGCAAGAGAACATCATCTCCTCCACAACAAACTAGCTCACTCTGGTATTTTGTTGTTGTTTTTAACACATTTAATCTCCCAGTGAATAGAAATGATAAGTCTTTAAAGTGCATGCAATATCTATCTCCTTGTTTTTGCTGTAGCCTTTTTGCAATTGCATTAAATTCTGCTTTGAGCCCTGTAGCAGTTATGGAAATGGTATCTGGTTTGTCGTACTGTACGGTTGCCTGGGTGATGTTTGCGTTAAAATAAACAACTCAAACGTGACGTGGACACCTAAGACTGCCACCACATCCACCGAGTGAAAGGCATGTCTGAGAGCAGCTACTGACTTGGCTGTCTGCTTGGCTTTGATGTCTGCAACTCTGACCACAAAAGGGACAAGTCATTATATGTGTGTGTGTGTGTGTGTGTGTGTGTGTGTGTGTGTGTGTGTGAGTGTGTGTGTGTGTGACATAAACAGGGCATGGAGGAAATTAGTGCTCATTTAAATCACAGTGACCTCAAACCTATAATCCCACATCAAAGTTGTCCATTTGCTATGTATTACATGTGGTACATTTCTCTTTAAATTAGAAGAAAACACAAACCTTTATAAATACCATGTGTAAGTTCCAGCAAAGAAAAATGAAGTGTCAAAGAAATTGCACATTTAAATTGGATAATATGGATGTATAAAAATTCAGATACACCTGAAAAACATAAACAACTTTAATACTTCTCATCTGTCAAGAGTAATTACAAGACACTGTGGGGGGAAAGTCATGTAATCCATGCATCCATCCTGGATGAAGCATCACTAAAAAAGTAGATTTCTTTGTTGGGATGTATGCCATTTAAATATGGGATATGAATAGGTAGTAAATATAAACTGGAGACTAGAGTAGCCTTGTGATTGATGTGTCCTAATAAGGCCACAGCTCACTTGGGTTCATGACAGCCATTATTATGAGTTATAGGGGTCTTAATGAGAGCTGTGGCAGCGTCTTTATTCATGGCCCACGTCTTGAGAGGGAAAAAAATGCAGACACAAATGAATAGACACAAAGGGAAAAGCAATGACATGGCGTGTGAATGACCAGTCTTTCCATCACACAAATTACAGGTCGACAGATGTTGAGTAAGTCACGGCGGAAAGCAAAGAAAATGTTACAGTACAGGAACTGAGTCTGTCTGAAGAGCAGATTGAATGT